TTTTGCTTGAGTTAAAAGGTGTTTTAAATTCGAACTAGCTGGGCAGTGACCTGATATAGGATACAGCTTGAGTGCTGCAGATGCTTCACTGGTCATGGGTGTGGATGTAAGTGCTCTGTGCTGGTGTAAAATCGCTCTGTGCTGCTAATACAAACTCTTGTGCAGTTCCAGTTCCAGTACTACTTTACAGGGTGACCATGTTCAACTGAGCTGGAATAGCTTGAGAGGAGTTTACAAGTTAATGCTGCAGTGAAGACAAGTCCTAAAACATTCATCATTCACGAAGGTCATCTTCTAATCATACTTGGCTCAGCTCTTAGTGCTTGTTGAGAGGTTTCCTTGAAGCCACTAACTTTCTTAAAAACAATTTAAAATGCAAATCAAGAAAAACCAATCACCTCTTCTTAATACTTATCAAATGTCAATGTACTTGGTGCTTTACAAATAAAGAAGAGATCCTGCCCCAATTAGTTTACAAAATAGTTCAGTGACAGACAAAATAGAACCGACACAAACATTAACTCATTTGCTTGTATGATTTGGAGCAGGTGAAGAGATCTAGCAGTGGTTGTCTTGTAAACATTTTGTAGAGAAGGGTGATTTGAAAAAGAAAAGAAAAGAAAAGAAAAGAAAAGAAAAGAAAAGAAAAGAAAAGAAAAGAAAAGAAAAGAAAAGAAAAGAAAAGAAAAGAAAAGAAAAGAAAAGAAAAGAAAAGAAAAGAAAAGAAAAGAAAAGAAAAGAAAAGAAAAGAAAAGAAAAGAAAAGAAAAGAAAAGAAAAGAAAAGAAAAGAAAAGAAAAGAAAAGAAAAGAAAAGAAAAGAAAAGAAAAGAAAAGAAAAGAAAAGAAAAGAAAAGAAAAGAAAAGAAAAGAAAAGAAAAGAAAAGAAAAGAAAAGAAAAGAAAAGAAAAGAAAAGAAAAGAAAAGAAAAGAAAAGAAAAGAAAAGAAAAGAAAAGAAAAGAAAAGAAAAGAAAAGAAAAGAAAAGAAAAGAAAAGAAAAGAAAAGAAAAGAAAAGAAAAGAAAAGAAAAGAAAAGAAAAGAAAAGAAAAGAAAAGAAAAGAAAAGAAAAGAAAAGAAAAGAAAAGAAAAGAAAAGAAAAGAAAAGAAAAGAAAAGAAAAGAAAAGAAAAGAAAAGAAAAGAAAAGTTTGAGGGGAAATGGACTTCTAAGCCATTTAAAAATGTAACAAGTTTTTATAGACCAAAGTGGATACAAAAGATCAGTATTATAAATTACTATTCACTTCCCCAGAGCAAAAGTTTACAGAAGTGAGTCCTAGCAGATGTGAAAGCTTCCTTGCTGTCAAACTGTCAGAGAGAAGGAACTGAAGGTTGAAGAGCCTTGGGATTTGCTGCATCTCCCTGAGGTGTGTGGCTGCTGTCCTGCGATTAGGCAGTTTAACATTTGTTCCTTGATGTATTGCAGAGTGTGAATCATGACTCAAAGGCTTGAGTACTGAAAGCATCTCTAAGTTCTCCAAAATACTTACAACCGAAAGCCTCAAACATTTTACTAGAAACAGTTTTCTGTTTCACTTTTTCTTGCCTTCCAAATTGTTCATTTAATAGGAAACTTGCAGTCTTCTGCATATTCTTTACTACGCCACAGATATCATAAGGAGAGAGAAGTTGTTCAATGCTGGAGACTTAAGGGCTGGTCCACAGAGCTCTAAAATGCCGTTGCAAAAAATCCACATGCATTCAGTCTCTCAAAATGTTCCATTTTTACTCATTAGACCTCTTGGGTTTCCTATGCTTTGCAGCAGTTTCAGATGGAAGCTACTGTAAATTATTATTACCAGCTCTATACCTTATATCTTCTACATGGGTACTTTATATTTCTAGTGTCTTAAGGACTAGATTACTAGTTTTTTGCTTAGCAAAAGAATTGTTAATGCTTTCCAGGCAAAACCTTTACAAATATCTTTCTCTTGTAATGAAGACATAAGCATTTTCCTTTGCATTAATGAAAACCCTTCCAGCTATGCTGGCAGTACCTCTATATATTCATTACAACAACAGAAGAGACAAAGTCAGTTATTTTTGTACTCTACCTGTTTAGTTCTCATTTTAGAATCTGATGACAGATTGTTGTAGGTATAATGGGCCTGCGTGACTCCACAAAAAAGGACTGCAACAATTCCTGAAATGCAAAGAAAGGATAGAGTCAGCTGCTTCTATTTTCTACCTTGCAGAAGTCAAAGGGTGGGATTAGCCTGCTCAAAAACTAATTAGATTGTGTTAAAAGCTTTTTGTAATGCAAAGGTATGTTTTACAAGAATGTTCTTCCAACAAACTAGAATTTTGCTTTGATAGAAATCTTTGCAAATCCTCCCATTCCTTCATCCCAGGCTTATTAGTGCCATCCACTTGGACAATTTAAGGTACCATAATAACTGTATAAAACAATCTCTGCTGAAGGTGGGAGTGACAGTTATCCAAGTTTGTTATTTAATTATAAGATAATAAAATTATAGAAAATAATGAAACAGTGGCATAGGCCAAAGTAGCTGAAGAAATGTTAATTTTTCCCTCCTGAATGTGCTTGAGCAGTGGGGGCTGAAGGAGTAAAGTATGTGGAGGCCATTTTGCCCTCTGCATGTCTGTTTGCCTTGCATATTGCACACTGCTTATTACAAGGCAAACAGCAAAACCCAGCTTTAAAATACCGCTCTGGTGGGAAAAAGCTGTGTCACTCAGAATGACTGGGTCAGTGGTTGTAACTGAGCGGCAGTAATTATGTTTCCCCAGCCTATGGAAGGTATGAGGAGAGAAAAGGAGCAGCAATCTTGTCAGGAATATAAAGGTACTCATGTGGTAACATTAATTATTTTTAAAGCTCCTCTTCCTTACCAGCCCCATACTAAGCTGCTTAGAGTTGCTGATCATAAAGTAAACACAGTATAACTGTTGAGAACATTGATACATTCATACCCTCTTAAAGTTAAACTAATATTAACTAAAGAAAAGAAAAGAAAAGAAAAGAAAAGAAAAGAAAAGAAGGGAAAAACCAGTGGCCAATGGTGACCACAAAAGCACCTCTGGAAAAAAAAAACCTGTCTCTTAAATCTTGGGCTGCAACAAACTGAGGGGGAATGATCCTGGAATCCTTCACAGTGAAAACACGACTGCCTAGTAGGATGTAAAGCGGTCCTGGTCGGTGGGCTCACAGGGAGTCCCACTGACTTCAGTAAGAACTCACATGGGCATAGGAGCTTGCACACTTGACTTCACAATGGAGTCAATAGATGCTGCATCTTCTTAATGCCTAAAACAGGGGCTACCCTCCCTTTTGAGCAAGAGTTGTTCTTCCTCATTTTTCAGGAAGAACGGATCTTGCACAAGAGGGGGGTTTTGTGCAAAAAGGAGCTGTCTACACAGCACCTTTTTGCGCAAAAGCCTCTTGTGCAAAAACGGCTGCTAATTAATTATGCAAATGAAGTGTGGCGATATTCTACTCCATGGTTCATTTGCATAAGCTTTTGTGGAAGAAGGCTGCAGTATAGACGTAGCCAGAATGGTGAAATTCCTGAAAAGCAGATGATGCATCTATGTAAATAATCATCTGGAGAAGGCTTAGTGAGGAGTTTTCAAATGTAGCTACTCCCTTTACTATAAGGAGCTTGAAAAAACAATAGTGCCAATGTAAAATAATCCACTATTTCATAAACAGGAAAAAATCCAGGTCTGGCGTAATATGATCAGTTACTCAAGACAGTGAGTAAATGAGCAGTGCATTCTGAAGAAGCTGCAAGCAACAGGGATGTGCTGCAGTAAACTTGTCTACACAGAGAGGCTGCAGGTGCTCCTGGAAATGGGACTAATAGTTTGTAGAAGCCTCAGATTAACATGTAAGATATTGAATGCTTATCCAAGCCTGTCAGATGTTTGAAACTATGGGTATCCCTAGGCTATGTCTACACTGTAGGTTTCTTGCACAATAACTTTTTGTGGAAGAGATGTGCTTTTGTGCAAGAGAGTAACCACACTGCCATGAACGCTCTTGCATAAGAAAGCTCCGATGGCCATTCACAGAAATGGCCATCCGCGCACCAGTTCTTTTTCCGATAGGGGTTTCTTGCGCAAGGAACCCCTGTTGTCTGTCCACACATGCCTTTTTGCGTAAGAGCTCTTGCACAAAAAGCCCTGTCTTCTATCTACTGTACTTTTTCTTGCGCAAAAATGCGCTTGTAGTATGGATGCGCTGAGAATTTTTGCACAAAACCAGCCATTTTCGTGCAAAAACTCTGCAGTGTAGACATAGCCCTACAGTTTAGTGGTAGGAGGGTGGCTGAGGAAGAGTGAGAAACATTTCCTAAGATTAAAATGAGGATGCAAAAAAGAAAAGGCAAAGAAGAAATATTTAAAAAATGACAAACCTTATTTGAAGGGAAAATTTTTTAAAAAAACTAAAGACTAAATAAAGTAACATGATTCTTTTATTAGACCTTCCTTAGTTTTCTGTTGCTCTTTAGACTGCTAGATGTAAAAGTACTATCCACCCAAATTGCAAGTTTCTCTATTCATTTCTGGGAAGATTGAGGAATGTGCCTTTGATGGAAGAGAAAAGGGGATAGGAAAGAATAATGGCCACCAAAGAGAAAATGAAAAACCTATTCCCATTCAGCAATGCAGAATGTCTCTTGGCTTCTGAATTCTATTCGCTCGACAGTATTTCTATTGCAGTAATACAAGCTTCTTCAAACGAGAAAAATTTCACTGAGCTTTAACTGCCCTTTCTTTGCTTTTGTCATATTTCTGTTTCTTTTAACTCAGGACTGGGGCTGAATCTATAACATAAAGGTCATTAGAGTGCAGTACCTAAGAAAGTGCTGGGCATTTCAAGTTTATGGTAAGACACTTTATTCTCCCAAATGACTTCAATGCCTCTTCTAGGGCTTGAAGGCTTCCTTGTATTTTGTAGTATAAAGCTGACATGGGATTTATAAAGTCTCTAGGCCAATTAGTAGCTTCAAAATGTCCTCTTGTATAATGTGGTGGATAAATACATGTTTGCACAATCAAAAGTCAATTTTTAAAAGTATGGCTAAGCAGGACTACTTCTAAATATCACTAGCTCCTGAGCCAACAAATACAAATGGAAATATTATTTTCCTGTTCAATTTTCACTCCCTGAGTCATCATGTTGCCATTTTAAAAATTTGACTGGATTAAATTCAACCACAGTTGTAAACACTGATTTGTGACTGCCAAATGCAATGGATAATTATAGGTGTGATATGTGTCTATTTACTGGTTCCTGAGGCAATATGAAAACTAGGACAGTGGTATGTAAAAGGCCTGATGCTGATCTCACACCAGGCGTACATTCACTTAAGAAAAGCACCTATCTGAAAAACTGAAAAAAGACACATCAGTTTCAACCACAGAGTATCTGATACAGAGTGAGGATTCTTGTTTGAGCCCTTCTTCTACAAAGGAATTTCACCACCCAATTACAGAAAGATAACTGGAATTCATCTACAAATTTGACACTGTCACTCTGGGCTTGAATAAAGATATTAACTGATGAAGACACTGTCACTCTGGGCTTGAATAAAGATATTTACTGATTAACACACGACAAAGCCGATTTCCCCTGACTTTGACATCCACATTTCAACATCAAAAGCTATTAATAGGACATATCCAGCCCACTTAATAAGCTTCATTAACACAGGTCCTGCAACTGACAGGTACTTCTTTTGCTATTATATATTTCTTGGATTCTGTTATTTCCATTCCAACACAACTGATGAAGTGGATCTTCCTCATGAAAGCTCATGATCCTATATATTTTTGTTAGTCTCTAAGATGCCACAGGACTACTGGTTGTTTTTAAAGTTAGACTAACACGACTATGCCTCAGACTTAAGTTCTCCTGTCATCCTTCAAAATGGAATTTCATAGACCATCTGAACCTATTTCCAGAGTGCTTGCGATAGGAAATCTCTATATTGCTAAAACAAGGCTTGCTATGCTCACAGCCTTAGTGGTTATAACTCACACTTAGTGGTACCTTACTTCTCAAACAAGGAAAAAACAACAAATGGTCTGGTAGCACTTTATAGACTAACAAAACATGTAGATGGTATCATGAGCTTTCGTGGGCACAGCCCACTTCTTCAGATGACCGGAGTTATGAGTTTGGGATACGAAAACTCAAAATAAATAGGAGAGGGGAAGCGGAGTGGGGAGAGAAAAAAAAGGAGGGGGGTGGGAGACAGAGCATCATTAAGTATTTGGAGAACGGGTACTTAAACCTCAGCAGATAAAAATCAAAGTCAATAGATTCCCAAGACAGGAAGGATGCCACTCAGAGAGCTGTTAGCACCTTCAGTGGTTATTAAGTAGGTAGTGTCCCAACCAACCCATATCACGATTGAGTCCATTAGCATGTGAATTGAATTTGCGGATGAACTGTGATTCCAGGGCCTCCTTGTGGATCTGGCTATGGAGGTGGTTTGTGACAAGACAGATACTTGCAGGTCTGTCAGACTGTGGTTTGGCATGCTGAAATGCTCATCAACAGGCTTCTGTATGTTCCCTTTATGTATATCTGATTTATGTCCATTGATTCTTTCCCGCAGAGACCGTCCAGTTTGTACAATATATATAGCAGTGGGGCACTGCTGGCATTTGATAGCATAGATCAAATTACTGGATGTGCAGTCAAGTGACCTTTTGATTTTGTGGCTTATGTTGTTTGCTCCAGTGATGAATTCGCCAGTATAGATATGTGGGCAAAGCTGGCATCTTTTTTGGTTGCAGGGCTGGGTTCCTGGAGGCTTATGATGTGGTTGTGTGACATGGTTATCAGAAAGAATAAGTTTTAGGTTAGGGGTTTGTCTGTAAGCAAGAATAGGTTTTTCTCCTAAGGCCTCTGAGAGTGAGGGATCATTTTCCAAGATGGGGTGTAGTTTGTGTATAATGCCTTGGAGGGTCTGAGTTATGGACTGTAGGTAACAACAAGAGGAGTTCTGTTATTTTCTTTTTTGGGTCTGTCATCCAGTAATTTGATTTATTTTGAGTATTCATATCCCAAACTCATAACTCCGGTCATTTGAAGAAGTGGGCTGTGCCCACGAAAGCTCATGATACCATCTATATGTTTTGTTAGTCTATAAAGTGCTACCAGACTAT